ATTCTCAACTTGTAATGGTTCTTTATGATTAAATAAATAAATGACACCAACCTGATTGCAGGATTAAAAAAAAAAAATATTATTATTTATATTATACTAGTTTATGTAAGTTTAATAAATCAAAAATAAGCTTTTTTTTAAAGTTTTAAATATAATTTATTTATATTTTTTTATAAAATTTATTTTATGCAAATATATATTTTTTATTTTAGAATTAATAAATTGATTTTATATTTTAATATTATTAATCAATTGTATTATAAAAAAGTTAAAAACAATTTTGTTAAAAAAATTTTAATTTAATAATTATTTAATTTGTTTTATTAGTTATTTTAAAAAAAATCAAATAAGTATTAATATTATTTTGAATATTTTATTTTATTTTATTTTATTTTTTTTTTAAATTGGCTAAAGGCATTAGATGCAAGACTTTATTTACTAATAATAGTATTGTTATTATATCAAATATCTTTATAGACTAAACTATTACTATTTTAGAATGTAAATTAATGCTACCTAGTAATTATCATTTTCAGTAGTACTGATTTCCCAAAGACCAACCTGACTACTCTAGTTGGCTAACTTGCATCAAGTAGATGGGCTTATGTCAGGTAGGACTTACACAGGATGGAAGAAATTCTATCATTGGTTTAAACCTATCATTCTATTGGTCCAATCGTATTTTTCAACTGCCTACTGAAAGAAGATTATATAAAATATTATTATAAAAACTAATTTCAATATTTCAGTTATTGTTATTACTAATTCTCAAGATGTGCTACTAGCATAATATAATATTACCATTTTCATCATCTGTGGAACTGGCATCTTTGCTTGGATTTTAATTTAATTTTGTTAATTCTTACCAGACTTACTTAGTATTGATGATTTTTGTCTAGATTGTTACCACCTATGGCAAATAATTTTTGCCCTTTAAGTTTATTTTAAGTTCAGAAGAATACTACTTTGGAATAGATCTTCAAGCTCCATATTGGGATAAATTAACTTAGAATTAGCCTTTTTATGTTGTGTGATGAAATTTGCTATCACCAGTTTGGTTTGAGATTTGTGGACTTATTACTAGAGTTAGACTAAAAGTATTTTTTTGTGCAACCTTCTTTGCTTCGACCTGTTTTCAGTCCATAATTGTTGGAAAGACCAGAGGTCCCATCTTTATGCAGCTTAACTAAATTTGAAGATTGATTTTTGGCTGATTGGATATGACATGAATTGGAAACTGGTCAATCAATTATGAAGGTAATAAATTTTTTTTGTAACTAGGAGGGTTTGAACTCCAGATCTTTTCCTGGTAACCTATGGAGCATTACCACTATGCTATAAACTATACATGTGGTGTAAATTATTTTGCTGTTGACTTAATTTCCAAAATCCTTAAAAATAATTATGTCATGACTCAATTATTTATATGTTTTAATAGTGACTCAATTAATTGCATCAAATAATTGCGTCAATTGTGTCAAAGATCTAAAAATTTCAGCAACATGTATATTATAAACCTATAGGTCTTTATTTTGAATATTTTATATTTAGAATTAAAAGATTTTTTTGTAATAATTTGTATAAAAATTTATTTGTAAATAACTTGTTCTTTTAAATATATTATTTTAAATATCTCTATCAAGATATATATATTTTTTTGCAATGTACATATTTTTGTTTTAATAATATAATCTTAAATGCTTTTGATTGTTAAGAAAAAGAAGAATTATTTTTGTTTCAATACATATTACAAAGAAAAAGCTAATGAATCAAAATATATAAAAAAGTTTATTAATTTGGTATATAATTAATAGTTTATATTTTATAACTATTATACTTTTTATTTAAATCTTATTATTAATGGTTTATATTTATAAAATTCCCAGAATAAACCAATTTATGCTGTACTTTTATCGTTGTTAAAATCCACTTCTAATACTTGAATATCCGTTCCACGGATAACAACGTGGTCATAAATTCCAACAGGTGATCCCCATTTATCGAATCGAAATTTAGTTTCCAATGCATCGACAGCCTCAAACTTTCCTTGAATCACAGTCCTGTAATATTAATTGTACACAGTTCATTATGATGTTAAAGAATTTACATAAAAATTTATTATCATACTTTTCGTAAAGTGTCACCGTTGTATTTGGTTTTTTCTGAATCAAATCCAACCAAAATAATAATGATCTTTGACGGAGATTTGATATAGCACTTTGTTCACTTTGATTTTTCGTATTTTCATCCATGTATTTATTTATCAGCATACATACGATACGTTTCTGATTTATAGATGACATGTGAAATTTAATTGGTCAACCTTATTTCATATACAATAGTCGAAACATTTCGCGATAATCTATCACGCGAACCCTTTTTTAAAAAAATCGTCAAATGTTTTCGGCAAAATACCTTAAGCGACCTCCAAGGTGGTTAACAATTTCCCAAAGTCGAGCATTTTCTTCTACCAAACAGCTTTTGGCGAGAAAGAGGCCTGGTGGTAGAAAACGCTCAACTTCCGAATTTGACATTGAATTTCTTCCCGAATATCAGTTTGACAGTACGTCCAAACCAGGTTATGAAATATTGTTTGCACAAGCAGAGATTAGAAGTTATCTGCGAAAAACAAAGTATGAATTACCACAATTGGCTAGTAAGTACTTTCTAAAAACATGTAATGAAAAAGTGTTTTAGTTTTTTCATTTTATTTGTTTAAATATTCCAGAATTCTCCAAACCTTATATACCTCCAACCAGTGACCAAATATTATTATTTAAAAGGTCATACTACATTGGGGAAGAACATCCACTTCAAAACAAAGCCGTACTGGCAGTAAAATTGAGTGATTTGTCGTTGACGCCCGAACAAGGACATAAATTCAAACTGTTATGCAGTACACGATTTGATGGAGATGACACGTTCAAATTTTCTTGCGAGAAATTTCCTCACCTCGCACAAAATAAAAAGTACCTCAGGGATTTGATCGATCGACTTTTAGAAGCGGCAAAGGCACGTGAAATTATCTGTATAAACATTCAGCGAGTTACGTCTAAATTATGATTACATTTGATAATTTAGGATCCAACCGATAGCTTTGCTGATCTCCCGGTTGATCTCAGACATCTCAAAAGGAAAAAGATAATTCGATTCCCCCCAGAATGGAGACGACCGCCCAAAGAAAAAACCGAAGAAAATTCAGTAAATCAGGAATCGACTTTCAATGATATTGCAGCTATGGGCTCTGATCCTATAAACGCAGATGATTCTAATGCTATATTGGAAACTGTCCCTGTTAAACACACTTGATTTTCCGTGAATTGCACCCTCCAAAAATAGATCAATGACATTTTTATTTTTTTTTTAAATTATTCTTTATGTAATTTACTTCCTAGGTATCTTTTTATTTCAACTATGATTAGATATCAAGGCACATGCGACGGATCCAAGTTGGCGTCTAATATATTCATTATCAACACCATGAGCTGAAAAATGCAAATTATCATTTAGTTTCTGAATGTGGAGTTAGAAGTGAATCTCTTTTAATACAACCATCTTCAATCTCTCCCCAGTGCATCGTCTGTGAAATGATTTCGACCTGGGAGGCTTTGAAAGCTTCTTCAACCGTTAATTTCCGCTCCACCAGACCAAGTCCAATGAGAAAAGATTTGGAAATCATTGTCGCTCGTTCAAAAGCTAAGCAACATAATTGGGAGTGAGTTGGATTCTAAGAGTTCGACCTGGATTCCATTTACGATAGCACATTATTATATTATATATATATATATATATTTGATATTGTACCAGACAACTTTAAGTCATCAAATCGTTCTACAACAGCTTTTAATCGGTCTTTAGTCTCGGGTGGTTGTATTCCGATGATATTATTAGTTATTTTAATGTCGACTCCATAGCACTTTTTCACCCAGTCCACAATTGGATCCCAATATTGTCTTTGAAGTATAACCAGAATGTCTGGATAGATTTCCTGATAACTAGTTAATGGGCATAGTTAATCTATCTAAATATATTTTTCATGTAAATGACGCATAAGAAATTTCCTACCAAACTGTATCTGTATCGAGATATCTTAGTAATCTCGTAATGACCTCTTGTCTTTCTGATGGATTCTTTTCAAACGTGTCAATTGACCTTGCAACAAGTGAGGTCTTTAAATTTTGAAGATTAAAAATTAGAGAGAATAGAAATAATCCCAGGGATATCAAAACATAATCTTGTATACCAATGGCAATGAATGTTGCTTCAATAAAGTTTTCTGGGATTCCCATTCACCAGCGATCAATGCTGCTAGATGTTTATTCGAAGTAATTAACGGTGCACCAGCTGGCGTTTTTAATGTATGTTTATCGAGTGCTATTTGGTAAGTGTTATCTGTAAGTCGCCATTATTTATCAGTACAAATTATTATCTGCCTGGTGAAAAAATTTTTTTAAAAAATTATCGAATGGTTCGTTCGTGCCTTGATTTTTTATAACTGATGCTCTTTTCCAAAACCGTTTTAAACTTTTTTCAGCTTCTACATATAAACACATGTATCTTTTACCGGAGAATATTGATCAAACGTAGATGAATTGAATTGAATTGAATTGAATTGAATCCTCACTTTTAGTCACATTTTGCGACTCTCGTGGAATTCCAACATGCAACAAACTTGTTTGAATTTTCGGGGAACGAATTGTCGAGACATTTGAAGAGTTTCTTAAAATGACAGATAATCTTGAAAAATTCATTTTTTACACACATCGTGTAAATCGAGCACGTTGTATTGTATTGTTATTAATTGGAGATTCTGATTGGTCGATCAATATGTAGATGAAAAGTACAAATAACTCATAATTTTTAAGAAAATAAAATATTTCAAGTAATACATATGCATTAAATATAGAATTTAATAGTCGAAGTAAGAGATAATGATAATAAAACTTTATTAGTGTCATTGCTAATGTATTTAAAGAAGCCATTATAGAAATCGATAAGGAAAAATTTTTTGAAATGGCCACTGTAACACGAGGATAATTATTGCCATTTAACCATTAACATCCACAGAAAAATATTTTCAAGGGTATATGAAAAGACCACAATTAGGAGCATATGGCAATATTAACCACGAGGCTTGATTTAACGGGCTCTGTGGTTTCAAACGTAATGATCTGCATTAGTGAGGAATGTAAGACGTCATTCCAGTACCCTATTGTGATAATAGTTGATGGGGAGATGATAGGAGTCTAATCTCCCGTGTAGGTACGTTTTCGACAAATCAGATTAGAAACGGGAATATTCATGTGATCTCAATTATCTCACGAAAATAGTATTTGACATCAGTTAAGTTGTTCTTTCGGGCTGAATGTTGTGCGCCAATATAAACAAATGATAGCTTTTGTTACGCCGTACAGTTTTCTTAATTTGTTTGCTCTTTCTTTTACACTTACATTACCCACTTTTCGATAGACTTAGATTTTACATTCCTTTTACATTATGACCTCGTCATCGCTCGTCGTCCCTTTGGCATTTTGGAACCGGCTGCCTACAGCACCAGTAACAGTTGCAGTTTATAGAGAAGGACACGTCGTGACAGGTTTAAAAGACGGAAATATTTGGATATATCGCTGTAATGTGGATGACCAAGCCGATCTTCAGGTAGATTTCGAGTTTAGATCTGGAGCGAACCAAGGTGTCTAACGAATTAAAACAATCGGCTTATGTATTATAACGCGTAATTCTTTCAGCTACGACATAAAGTTTTATGCATCGGTCACAAATCGGCCATCACGGCTTTGTCCATTATTGAAGGACAAGTTGATGGCTGCGCCGGAAATAATTACGTATTGTTGAGCGCATCTGAGGATGGGTGGGTAATAATCACTTCTATTATTTGTGAATATTCACGATTTTGCCATTTTAAATGATTAACTTAATCGAGATATACGCTGGATTCAGAGAGGTCATGAAATGGTGTTTGTTAGACGGTCGATGTATGATGTCTACAGCAAGAGCATTTGACGGTATCATAAGAAGTCTTAAACCATTGGCTGCTTATGCAGAGGTATTTTTTTTCACTGTATTTAGCATACTATGAATTGGATTTCAAATTCTCATAAAATTGTTGCAAACGGTTCAACTTCTAGCCTACGAAATTTATTCTTTGCGCCGGATTCCTAAATGAGATCACGATATTGAATTGTGCAACTTTAGAGGTATAACATCATCGCCTAAGGTTAATTAATAAGTCAAGTTTTTGTTTGTTAATTGTAATTACTTCAGATTGTACGAATCTGGGCTGGTCACAATGATTGGGTTACGTGTACTCCATTTTATGACTCAGGTATGTGTTCATCGTCCATTTAATAAAATATCGATCGATGATGATTCAACGACGATCCCTTTTTCTTTCTTTTTTTTCTTTCAGACACACGTAAAATCAGACTCCTATCATCAAATTTTAATGGAATTCTAAAGATATGGACATTTGACGAAACAAAGCAGACCATCACGAAGGAACACGATAATGTAGGATTTCTTGACGCCCAGGGTGACAAAATATTAGAATTGATAAGTAACCCTTACGAGATTGGTGTGATCATGGCGATAACAAAAAACTTTGTCATAGTATGTATGAACCCGGTGACACATCAAGCATTCATAAAAACAATCATTAAGATCCCTTCCTCTTTGCAGGTATTTATAATAAGGAACGGTAAATTAATTAATATGCAGCGTATAAGAGCTCCCGGAGAAGGAATTTTCTGGACTAGCGGCGTTTTTTTGGCAAAAAACAGAGTGTTGGTTTCCTCTCAGGTGACTGATGAAAGCATTCTTATTATCAAGATCAATAAATGTACATCATGTATTTACTCTGTTGTCTTTGCAGAATGGGGATGCATTTTTGTATTCGATACCAACTGTTGAACGTAAATACCCATCAGAGAATGGACATTTACTGACAAAGCCTGGGCTCATTCGACGTTCATCTATGCCCAATCTACAAAAATCCAATGGTGAAAAACTCTTGACTTCAGTTTACTCGAGGTCTGAAAAATCGATGAGTTAGTTGGCATTTTTTTTTTTTTTAGTAAATATGTTTGGTTATAAATTGGTTATGAAAATGATTACAGGCCAGAGTTGTTGGAGGTCGTGCGCTCTGGAAGTGAAGGTATTGATTTGGTTTAAGGATTTTACAATCCGCATACATAACAGGCATAAGTAACACTCTGTCCATTCGAATATTATCATAGACTCCACTAGCGTTACAGTAACATCTGTTTTTGCAAATCCCAGTATCGAAGGAAAATCAACTTGTTGGTATTTGATTGCTTTTCGTAATCACCCTCAAGGAATATCATTTGCATGGAAGTCGTTGTCAACAACGACGAAGGATTCCGACACTGGCGAAAATAGTCAAAGAAATGTTCGTGAATCAAAATGGCATGTGGGTGAGTATGATGCGTTTTCTTAAAAAAGATCATTTAAAGGATTTCGTATTTAACTTTGATTATCTATGTAGAAAGATATTTATCTGATATATGGCCATTGAACAAGCACAAAAGTCCAAACATCACGGCTACTACTATAGTAGACGATGACAAAATTGCATTCGGGTTTGGTATGTTTATATGTTTCATTGATCAATCGCGATAATTTTATGTCAACATTTTATCATATCTAGAAAACGGTGAAATTCGGATGATGCCAATATCATTGGCATTTATTGAGGAACCACAAATTTGTTCTCACAATGCAGTTCGGGATTTCAAAGGTCACGTCGGAAGTGTCACATGTTTGTTGACGCCCACGTTCAACAACTCTGTGCATAGATATCTTGTGTCAGGTGGAGAAGATTGTTCAGTACGGATATGGAGTCTGGAGTAAGTCCTTTTACACAACACATGTATTAAATTGTTAGGGAAACCTTTTGTTCCATTATTCATTTAAAGCAATTTGCTTAAAATCCCATCAGAAATGGGAAACGTTTGGCCTCCTTTACATATCATTCCCAACCGGTTATCCACTTGTTTGAACCACCTGCCGAAATTTATTCAAGGATTCGAGGGTGCATAATTTCTGTCGCGAGAGATAATTCTCTGGCGATAATATCTTTGGAAGAGATGAGTTGGTAAGAAGGTTTTTAACCCCAAGCTGAAAGCTTTTTGTATACTTATTCTGTTCGTGTTATTGATGCCTTTTATTTGTGCAGCATATATGTTTTCGGCGGCTACCCCTATCCAATAGAAAAAATTCAATGGAGAATATCAGACCACTTTTTGGTGCTTTATTATGGTGATGAATCCGCACATTTTTGGCAGGTTTGTCAGTTTGGAATTTATCCTTCGAAAAGTTAGTGTAATGTTGCAACTTATCTACACTTTTCTTTTTAAATCTTTGTTAGATGAGAGATTCAGAACTTTATCAGATTGTCGCTTCTGCGAGAGAACTAATTAAAGATGAGAATTGGATAACCAGGTTTTTTTCATTTTCAAATTAATAGAGGAGTCAAAAATTTTTCCATTAAGTGTTATTTACTTTACTTAGTTCGGTACCACCAAAACTTGTGGACAATAAGAAAAATAGCACCTTGACATCTTTTCCTGTATATTCAAAAATCGATGGTAATTTTGTTTTACTTAATGCTCAAGTGTAAGTGTATATTTGACTATTATTTGGCTCTCAATTTTCTGTCGCACACACATTTAGGCACTTCAACACTTCAAATGTTTACGATAAATGTCAAACAACTCATCAATGACATTTATCACTATCATGTTCCCCAATTCGGATCAAGGATTAATAAAATAAATGGACAGACCGAAGATTTTGATGAAAAGCCGAACTTGCCTAAAATATTCTCCTGGACAACTGCGGGGGCTTCGCAGTCATCGATTTCGTCACAAACATCAACCATAGCAGAGTCGGAGAGTAAAGCCATTGATGCCAGCATTGTTCAAGTTATAATATCTTCCCTCATGTCTTGGAATATTGACAGCTCACTCGATAAGATATGTTTCGAAAAGTTGGGATTGAAGAAATCTTCCACTCGAATTACATTCGGGTTAAGAGGGTAGGATATATTAATTTAGAAAGTGCGGTAATTGTTTAACATTTTTGACAAACATTTTCTTTTTAATAGAGTGAATGGGAATCTATCAATAGCTGCACCTTCTCTTGATGATGTTCATGCCACTTGGAAGATATCAAATACTTTAACTGCAGCCAATCTCTTATCAATCGTTGGACTTACGCGTTCGTTCCTTTCAATGAAAGGTGCGTACATTTTTTATTTATGACTTCGGCCGACGTGGGCACTAACAATTTATTTTCTGTTTACTTAGGCCTCGAGAAGTATACAAGTGATATAATTACTCACTATTGTTCTTTATTACCGGATCTTGTCGGCACGAAGTTTAAGCATCCTTCGCTGGTTTTTCTTGTAAAATATTTCCAGGACCCAGTCGGTAAGTGCAAGAATACACATGTGAATTTATTCATCGATCTAGTGTATTTATTCGTGCTTAAATAATTTAGAGGATATACGTCTTTCCGCACGTGCGCTCTTTTCTTCAGCTTTAAATAGCATGTCACCGGCTGAACAACAGTCTGTCATCGACTACTGGAAACAATTTTGTGAGTGCATATGTTTCTACCTTTCACTTTCCCCAAACTGTAGAAAAAAATCACTGATTTCTCTTTCCTCCGTATGCAAATTAATTCAAGTACCATCAGTAATGACGCCTGATTCGTACACGAATCAATATATGGCGAGATCAACAATATTGCTTGGGATGATTGGAGCCGATAATCCTAAAGTCTTACCGAAAAAGTTATTATCATTATTATCTTTCATGGATGATTCGACTGCACTGTAACCAATCTTAATCGAGTGTATATCATTTGACAAATTTGATTAGAATTGCCAAGAATATCGCCTTATCTTTGCTATTGCTACTTCATGACGACTGTAAATTGTCTCATCGATTGGCTGCTCTTGAATTATGTGGCAAGGGATTTTCGACTTGGGAGCCTCATATCCTTTATACTATTCTACCGATTAAATATAAATAATTATTTACATTTATTTTGATTAAACCTTAATTCAATTAACGGCAACACATATCGATTCAGTAGCTGTGCTTAAAACGATTTTAGGATTCGCTATTGAGGTTGATTCTAACGCAGTAACGGTTAAAGCTATGGCACAAAAGGTTATATTCCAAATAGCATCGATGAATGCACCTTTGTGTATGTCGACACTGGCATATGATTCGAATAATAGTAAAAAGCCTAACGAGAAGAATGGTTATCTTAAATTGATATCATTGTTCATAAGGAAAAAACCGTTGATCATGTATTCAAATTTGTCACCATTAGTCGAATCTGTGGTAAAATCATTAGATCCCAACATACCAAAAATGAGAGATACAGTGTTGCAAACTACCACCAGTGTGCTTCATGATTTAGTGAGAACTTTTCCATCGATTTCATTCCATGGAGGGTCACAAAAGTTGGCGGTTGGAACGCTTGAAGGCGCATCGATTGTCTATGACTTGAGGACTGCAACCAGATGTCACATATTAGAGGTACTTCATCATCTTTGAGCTTATCAAGATACTCGGGATCGCAAAGTTGAATTATCATTTTTATTTTCACAGGGACACACGAAATCAGTTACCGCAGTAACATTCTCAAATGATGGAAGGATTATTGTGTCTTGTTCACTTGAAGAGGGAACGGTTCGAGTGTGGAATCCAAATCCCGGATTTTTAGATATGATCACTGGTGTTGGTAGTAGAAATGGAATAAATGGTGTTGGTAGCCATCTGGCGTTTTCGAGAAATGAAAATAAAGGCATCAAGATGGGTATGGGATTCAAGAATTCTTTATCAAGTTCTATTAAACCCATTAAAAACTTCGATTTTAACCTAGGAGAAGACGGTGAGACATTTCTTTCCTTTGATGTTTAAATATTTCAATGTTAATAAATCCATTAATGATTTTTTCCAATTGTGAAAATAAATGCGCAAAATATTCTAGTAGATTTGTCAGTATCTTCAATATTAGAATCTGTGTATTTCGAATGGACAAATGAGAGAACTGTAAAGTTATATGTTAAAGATTCCACAATGTCGTTTAATTTATAATTCGTCGATTGATTCTTTGTATATAGTAATGAAACAAGAGGTATCAACTAATTAGTCCAATGATGTAAAGATGCCGAAGATTCAAAACATCCAAATTATTATTAACAACATTCATTTCACACATTGTATTATTACGTATTTTATCTTTTCAACTTATTCGCTTTTCATAGGAAAAAATCTTCCATTGGATAAATAAAAAAAAGTAATTTAACATTATTATTAAATTCAATGACTAACTTATGCGTATGCATGTTCAAACGATGAGTTTAATGGGTCGAACGACAGTAATATAATGCATGTCTCTTACATCCATATTTGACCAAATATTGTTTTGGTTATGTAAACAAACCGTGAGCTCGACAAAATGAGGGCAAACATTTTTAGTCGCATGAATGCTCTAAAAATGGAAATCTCTTAAGATAATTATAACTTACCATTTGTAGGGATGGCGCAGCAATCGTCCATAATATTACATTTAAAACTTGCTTTTGTTTTCCTGTGTTCGTTTTAGACGGATGCACGTTTATTTTCAGTGTGATCACATTTGAAATTGAGTAAGAAAAAAATAACTTTATTTTGTTACGAGGAAATCATTAGAAGACGCATCTCGCTTGGTTCAAGTGCGTCGACTGTTTTAAATAAAGAATTCGGAGACATAAAATTAAATTACGGAAATAAATAAGGATGTATGTACAATTCTTCAACATTTTGGTTATACTAATCTAGGAAAGTAAAGTCTTCTATTTTGTAGATATTCACGCATTTTGATGTGGATAACATAGAACTCCATATAATCATCAAGTTAAGAAATCGACCAAGCTCCAGGTAAGCTATTAATAAAGGATCCAGGTTGACGATAAGGACATACTTTCGCCTTGGAGTATACCTTCAACTTATCCTGGTTCAACAATTTCCTTCCAATGATTGGGAAATAGTTGAGGTCAACTATTAAATCGTCAAATTTCGAGTCCCAAACGCCTCCCATCGTCTCCGGTTCAATATTCGCCCCATTTTCTACCCATCGAAATTGAGAAGGAGGATCTTGAGCTTGCATCCTGAAGTAAAAAATATTTATAACGCTATGAACCACATCCGATGCCAATTCTTTGATTTGTTGCTGCTTCTCGAGAGATTCAATAATACAACATTGATTCATTATGTTCACAATCTTCCCAGATACGAATTCTACGAAAGGATGATCAAACCCGTCGTAACCTTTTGATCCGAGCACAGTGTAGACCTCGGGATTCATTTTAGACAAGGGCTTTGCGAAATCCGTGAATTTTGTTCGCCCAAGAAAACTCTCGCGCTTTGTTTCTATGGTGGAACTGTGAAAGGAACCGTTAAAATAGATATCTGAATGGTCTAAAATTGTTACGAGTATGTGTCGTTGCAATAATCCACTAACGAATTGAATTATCCAATCATTGTGTTGATACCCTTCGTCGATTTGTGTTTTACATTCGTATTGACATAAAAGTTCCTTGACCTCTTTCACGTTTATGCTCAATTCATATTCGCCACCATCCTTCAATACACCTTTCAATTTTGTAAAATTGAGTAAAAGCTCTTGGCATTGGTCGATGTCGTTTATGAGCTGTAAAATGTTGTTGAAATTTGATTTCTCCAAGAAATAAATTTGTATGGCCTGGGCCTCGATGGTTCGTTGAAAATCCGTATCCTCGGATTGAATTGATGATTCAGGTGGTTGATGTTGGTAAAGGCTTGGCACTTCTTGCAAGGCCTCTTGTAGCGCAATGTTGACCTCCTCATTATAGGTCATAATAACGGTAAGAAGATTTTCGTCTAAGAATTCATAATTATCCATTATGTTGGAGATGTGTTGGCGGACCACAGCAAGTTGATTTTGCACGGCTTGCATCAATTTTTCATTGATTTCAAGTCGCTCCTCGTAGTCCTGGGAGCCAGGGAGAAATTCTGACCCATCGGACTCGTATTGCTGTTCTTGAACTCGGCTCAATTCGTGCAATCTGGCACGGAATTTTTCTATCTCGATCATGACACTGTTGATTTCCTGATATATCGGACCGTCTCCCTTGGTGTTGGCAAGTATGGCAACATTTTCCTCCTGTTGTTTTTGTATGGCCATCAAACTCGATCTTTTTCTTTCACGTGGGGTTTTTGATTTTTGACGTTGCATTTTTTAAAATTTGGTCCTTTGTTCACGTTCGCTTGACTAATGATAAATAACTTTATTTTTTCAAGAAAAAATTTTTTTGCGGTCTCTATATATACGCACGAGCATTTAAATGTTTAAAAGTAAGGAAGTTGAACCAACGATGTGGGGAGATCTATATAATGCAAACACAATTTGTGAGACATTAGACGTAATAGTAAAACATATCCAATTGCACAAAATAATTTGTGAACCATTTGCGGAAAAAAACCAATAGCTTTTTTTTATGGAATGCAATCAATTAGATTCTAATTTCTTATTTTAACTGGATAGACGTTTATCGCATGTTCGCATACAACAAATCTATATACTACTGTATATGCATACTTTTTTAACTTTTTGTTGTTGATCCAGTCTCCGAATCAAAATCATCTCTAAATAAAACCACCTTTCGATAACATTTCATGAAATACCATAACCTTTGTTGTTTATCGGATTCGATGTTTAAGTTTCTGGTTGATACATGTACCATCGGAAGCTTCGGCATGGGTGGCGCAGTAGTCGCAAGTTGGAGGTGTTCCACCCCGTCTGATAGTGGAGAAAGCTGCTAAGTGAATGTGTTCGCTGATTAAATAAAATTTCACGTCACTTACCTATGCGCTCATAAATAACCTCCCAGCCTTCGAATAAATTTTTGTTTTTACCATTCACCTTATCCTCCTGACACAATTTACTATTCACACCTTCCTCACTATAATTCTTTCCATTATTTAATATGTCAATGACCCCTTCCCACAACCACTTTTCGGCTAAGAACGGATTCCCACTTGGGCCATTTACAAATCCGGTGATCATTTGCCAGAACGTCGAATCCAATTGATAAGCACTCGTCATTAATAACAACATCCAAATATGCTTTAACCTTTCCAAAATCTTCGTCACCTTATTCGCAAGGGCCACGGTTACGTTGGTCGCAGTGGGTGCTATTAACATATTAGAAGTAGCATATGAAGACGAGAACAGAAATCGGTCTATTGGATGCAATATCGGTTCTTTGTTCTCGTATGGCAAATAACGCGGTGGAAATGGAAACAGGTGCAGTTCTTTTGATATTATTGGCGAAAGATGTCTTATCGAATTGTTAGAGGGAATGGTAAATAGATATAAATGAGTGTATCCGAATAACGCTACTATTTTGCCTTCTTTATCCATTGCAAGTAGATCCCGAATCGCAATCGCAATATCTTCATGGGAGTTGATCTAATTAATAGTAATAGTACAAACGTCAAACAGCAATTAACAGCACGGGATTTATCGTCAATTCGCTTACCTTGGCATTAATCCTTAGGTCATAACAAACGTCATTTTGCATCACCGAAGCGATGAAATCTTGATCAACGCCTTCCGGCGGCCAAAGGTTTTGCAGGATCTCGTCAAATTCCGCTTTTTCCTTTAGCCCACCGGATTCCTCATCCTTTAATATGTTTCGCCAATATCTTCTCCGCAACATTGCTGTCATTAACTCATACTTATTCAATCTAACTTTATGATCTCTATGTATTGTATTGATGTCATCCCTTTTCCCAGGAAGATTGAAAAGAAAATGAAATAGCAGTGGTAGGTTATTGCAGTCCCACGCCTTCTCGTAATATCCTAATATTAGCGCTCGATAAGGAATTTGGTTGATCACAAAATTCGTGAAAAATGTATAGTCATGGAGATTCAGTATTATATGCTTGGAATTGTGAAAGAATGGCGAGAATGGTTCATTCGGGTCAGATTGCAGTTTTATAGGCGGTTTGTTAAAGTTGGGGAGATTTATAGTGATATAGATGAGCTCATTGATTTGTGAAATTAGATAAGATAGATATTTTACAACGATTTCTTGAGCATACCTAAGAACGAGATTTAAAAGTTTAACAAATATATAGAGAAATCATCGTTGCAATAAAAAAAAAATATATATATTTCGAGACCCACAAATCAAGGGAATTTGGTTCCAACTTCACGACGGTTCCTTCGATTGGGATGGGCTTATGATAAATTCCCAACTTTTTATTGTAATGCAATTTGTAAGCTTCTTTTAGGATGCGAGGCATCGTCAGGAAAATCTCTGTGGGATAGGTGAGCATGGCGTATAATAGACTAAGGCGATTGAGAATATAGGAATGTCCTACGGCTGTTGCTACAAATTTCTTCTTATCCGAAGCATCATCATCTCGGGAGGAATCGGTGTGCATAACAAATCTCACGTCAAGATATCCCGATGCGGGATCCTTGCAGTATACCTTGTATGTGCCTTTGCGATCGTTAAAAGGTGAAACGTGGAAGGCTCGCTTCGTCGTAAAGCTCATGTCGTATCTATATCGAATGGCGCTTGGTCAGGCAATTGGGGTGAATAAATTCGCGACTCAGCTTAAGCACACACATACCCGATCCTAGTGGCATTATTGTCATTATGGTCACGATCCAAGATATGTAAATGTTTTTCGCCAAAAGTATTATTGATTTCCAACACCACGACACTCAGCGAGTTGCGTAAATCGTAACAGAAGTAAAAGTTGACCGGATTGAATGCATAATTGAGAAGTCTAGGCATGGTCACTAATTCTACGCGAAGGAATCCTTCCGTGGAGATATCCTTCGAATACGATGAAAATCCGAATATATGAGTTAAGGAAGGAGAAGACGCTGTTGCTAAAGCGCATACATGATCAATCACTTACATGTCTTGATATGTACCAAAAAAGTTTTTCTTTTATCGATTTCAATTCCTTCCTTCCGAATGAAATAGGAATGTCTCTAGGATTGATGGCTCCCAGATAGTCATCGTCATTTATATTAAAAATAGTCTTTTTGTTATTGTAACCTAACCTGTGAAAGATTGAGAAATTGTTCAGAATTCGAACTTCCTCATCTTCCGAAATAAAGAAGGAATTCATGAACCTACAAGAATCCACCGGAATCCTTATTTCTTTCCAACAAATCCAAGTCAACTCCAAGATAAAGTACTGGATACTCGAAACTGTGTTTTACCGGGAAAAATCTAGAATGGAAGGTCTTGCAAAAATAAATCTTTTGATCTTTCCCGAGTGATGATTTAATTAATGATCGTTTCAATGTGACCAATATCAATTTATATAAATATTTAATGAAAAATGCGAAGACCATTGCTTCAAAAGGATTTATTGATGGAAAGGGCATCCTTAATAAGTGGAATAAACTTATTAGGAAGGCAAGTGAAAGGATTGCATTTTTGAGGTTCATTCTATTTTCCTGAGATTTTTCACTACGAAGATTGTTACAAAAAGATGTTTGACGCGCGCTCAAAGTTGGATCAAGCGGTTATTTATAATTTCAAGAAAGAAGGGGATTTCCCAAAAGAATGTTAATGACTAACGCTAATACGCTAGCACTACGTACGCAGAAAATCATTACACTGTACCACGTATTTCGGGAAACCTAACTTGATTATTATATTACCATTTCTAATTCCCCCCAAAAAATCGAAAGTGAATTTCTCAAAGATTCGCGAGTTCATAGAATATCGTAATGGTGATACTTCATAAAAACGTTCTTTTGATAAACATAATTAATCAAATATTTACAGTTTCTCTTGAAATTGAAACAGCATAAACTGTGCTTCGAATATATTTGAATCACATCACCTTATTTGTCTTAGATCGGTTTCAATAATGTATCCACTGCTATAATTCACGTAATTACCAGCGTACGATACAAGAATTTTCTTACCCTTCTCTACGGCATCTGGAAGGACTCACAATGCTCACCATGTCGCAAAATACTCGCTTATATAGACACAGAAGAATGCTGTTGTCGTTGCTCGTGACTCTGTTCTGTCTGCTATCATTCCGGATCATCGTCGAGCTCCTTGACTCGGAGATGGTGGGAATCGAAAGTAATGGAAAAGATGAAATCCATACCAGACCTGTGACGAAGGCAAATGCTAGCGCGGAGCAAGGCAGAGAAAACGTTAAATTTGATCATCTCTTAGGTTCCAAACGTCCGGAAGTTAAATTCCGAGTTAGAACAGAGAGTAAGGATCTACGTGCGACCAGTTTTTTTATAATTTCCTGACCGATACACTCATGTTATTTACTTATTAGATTTGAAAAAAACCTACAAAGTTTCGGAAAAAATTCGTATCGTAATCGAACCACGGTAGAGGTCGAGACGCATTCACGTTCTTCTTGTGCCAAGTTAAAACCCAACTTTTTTCTAATTTAGGCATCCGAAATTACTCGGTAAATTGACGTCCTCTTTTTTCCGTGTGCAAGTAATCGGCGTGCGAACATTTTCACCGGAACAAATTAAATCCAGTAACTCTTCTCAATTGGTTTTCGAAGCACCGCTCGTGGATCCCGGTTTATATAAAGTTCGTGTTCGAATAATGTTTTACAATTACCGTGAAATGTATAGCCTTGAATCGACCGTGAGACCCGATCCGAAAATTTCTCCAAAGGTCAAACTGCTGGACCGGATCATAATCGACGGCGATTGGAATTTCACTGTGGTAAATTCAAAGTATTCTTTATCATCCGACGTGCCGAGCTCGTGTAGTGATATTGACACTCTTACCGGGAGATGGACAAGTTGCTTGAAAGAATTTTTACCGTATGAATGTAATATTCCAAAGTATGAGAGAACCGCGTTTCCAAGGATATTCGAAAAAAATTCTTTTCGTTACGGTTGGATCAGATTTATTGGTGATTCCAATACTCGAGGATTATTCCAGACACTTCAGAGGCATGTGGGGCACATGGAATGTGTTTGGGTACATGAGAGTCCAAAGGCGGAAAGACGGACGCAATACGTTTGCGTCTTGCCTTACTCCAATGCATTGTATGATGATGATTTGCGTCCCAAAGAGTTGGTGTTGACTTATGAATGGTTTTTCCCTGGCAGCTACTACAACCTGGAGTCACTTTTGAACAGCACTTTCGAAGATATTTGCAAGCCCTTCACTAAATGCCGTTCCAAAGAGCTATGCAATTTCCAAGAACCCTTATCTTACCGAAAGTTTTGCGCCAACAAACATGCTGACTACACCTTTATTTCGATTGGTTCTCATACTCCGGAATGGAATGAAAGAACAAATGACATTTACTTGCGCGAAATGTTCGATCATATCCACCAGAATTATAATCATAAGATAACTTTTATGACGACTAATGCCGCGAACGTTCATAACATTCCACGATTTTATGGAATCCAGTACATCATAAGAAACAATTTCCGCATCGCGAGGGCTAACGAGATGTTGAGAAAACACGTGGAAATCAGCGTAAAGCAAGGGTATAAGAATATTGATCTATTAGACATCTTTAGCACCTCGCAGCCAATCTGGGAATATTCTCGTGACGCGGTAAGTAAATGATAGTGGTGACCGGTATTCTACAAAGTATTTGCTTAAGACGAAGACGCCGTCGATCTATTGATACTTCACAGGTTCACTACAACAGTTCGATTTATAATGTGCATGCTCGGCTAGTGCTCGATAAGTTGATAGCTTGGCTTGAAAAACAAGTATAAATGATCGTGAATTACTTACTCCCTTTGAGATTGGGAAAGTTTTTTTTCTTCGTCAAGTATGAAAGCCATGAATTACTATTACAAGATACTTATATTATTTGATGAAATGTTTTTTTAGAAATTTCAACTGAAATTCACTATATATAACTGTTTTCGGTTTTTTCATAATCAATTTCGAGTTTTTCTTTGGCATATTCTGTATATTATTATTCTTTGATTCAAATCTGCATTGATCGAGGAAAAAAAAATTATACGCGTATACAGTAAGTACATCACATGACAAACATCGCGCTACGACCGTCGCCGCGAAACGCGATAACGCAACGCGTGCGGATGAGGCGGAGGATGTGTAACCACTAAAGACGAACCAGAAAGTAAAGAGGTTCTCCTCTCTTATCCCCTTTTAACATGAGTCAAAAAGTAAACAAGAAATTCAATATTAACACGAGAAAAGCCGATAGACAAATGATACCAGCTGTTTCTTATGTATTCGTTAAATACGTACATGTATTACCACTATATACTTAAACAAGATCACACACATCTCATTTTAATTAATTCTTAATAAAAAAAAAAAATGCTAATGTTTATTTCGAATAGTTTGTAAATACATTTAACTTACAAGAAGAATATAGATATATATAAACAAAAATTCAATGAGAGTTAAATACACGTGAAATAAATAAGGAGTTTAACTGTTCGTTTTGTCGTCAGGCATTTGGGCAAGCCAAGAAGGAGGAGAAATTCCGGTTTGGTCTTGTATAGTAGACAAAAGCGGAGGTAAAGACTGGAAGATGTTTGCAACAGGATTTTCGTTTTGGCCACCAGTATTCCAAACGGTAATTTTGGGATTTAGATTCTGTACTGCTGTGGCATTCTCCTTGGCCAATTGAGTGTATACACCACGGTCAATCATGATGTACTGTAAAGCAGCATTGGCATTCCCACCGAAGGATTGCATCAGGTTTCTTATACCCTCTGCTTGGGCATTGTAGAGAGCGAGTTGACCTTCGGCTTCCTTTTGTTTTATATATAAAGCAGCCTCGGCTTCTTTTTGCGCAGTGTAAAGTTTAGCATTTGCAACGGCCTTCGATGCTTCATATTCTGCATTAGCCTTTGCAACAAATTGAACACGAAGCCTTTCTGTCTCAGACAAGAGTCTTCGTTCTTCAACTTCTTTCTGAAGTTCGCTTTCTCTCATCTTTGCCGCCTGCGAGGCCTCGATAGCTACGGTAACCAAGAGAATTGGATTAACATCCCAACTTAAAATTTCAAACTGAACCAGAAGCGAAAATCAACAATAACCCATTACCAGCAATTTTGGTTTGCCTTTCGTATTCAGACTTCTTGATTGCAAGGTTCGCCTCAGCCTGTGCCATGGTAACTTTACGTTCGTTTTCAATGTTAACCGTGTCAGACTCGACTTTCGAACTGGTATGGGCGCACGTTGAAAATACTCATTAGTAAATAGCCCTTTTTCATTTGTGGGTTTAAACGAAATACGTACGTTTCCTGTCTTGTTAATCCCTCTCTTTGCTTGGCGCCCACATCACCACGATATTTTGCTTCGGCGACATCAACCTTTGCGCTATTTATGGCACCTTCGTGGGTTTTCATTCTCTATCATTCCAAACAAAAATCACATGAGAATCTTGATTTCGTCCAAGTGGAAATTTGATGACATACCATGTATTTAAAGTATTCGGATCCTTGGGTATCTTGCAGTTGTTTTACGTTCGCATTGTAAATGAACAAACCAAACTACAAAAGTCATGGCGGTGATTTCAAAATTTAATCTCGTTACCATTTGAAAGTCACTTTCACGATAACCCGATGACCTACCTGGTTAAGCTCTTCCTGTACGTTCTTGACCACTTGCTCTTTGAACCCTTTTCTTTCTTGGAAAATTTCTTCCATAGTCATTGCGGCAGCAATAACTCTGGTTTCACCTTCAATAATACCCTTCACCAAATCTTTGACGTGATCCGAGTTTTTATGATTCGTCGCCAGTAGTTTGGCATACCTTTTCAAGCTTTCAGGTTCATCCTTTGGACCAATGGTGAAGACGGCAGGAAGATTGAATTCCAGCTTTTCCGCCGTCATTGCTTGAAGTTGCAGAGTGTAATTTTCAGGAGTGATGTCAAAAAAGATGGAGCGTTGACCGGGTATCACCCATCCCTTCTTTTGAAGAGACACATCTTTAATGAATGCACCGGTCTTAACCAAGTATTGGTTAGGGTCACTGTCCAAGGGTGAAAAAGAAGAATTACAACATTATCGTCCAACAATTGAGACATTCTATCTTAAAAAGTGATGCGTTACCTGATTCTATACATTTTGTTATTAAAAAAAGAATGACCGGTCAAGGAAGTAGTCTATTTATGCTAGAAATAAAACTCGACAAGGAACCCCAGATTTCCTAGAATGATTAATAAGAATAAATAATATCTTCAGATGTTTTGGCGAAGGGAACGAAGGTGGGAAATACGTGAATTTATCCAAAATCTTTAATGTCACCTGGTTTCCACAACAAACACAACCGTTATTAGCCATAGAAATGGGGTGACCTCTGATAAAATAATTATCGGAATTTGAAAACCTTTTGTTTCTCCATAAATGTGCACATCATTATATGCATGAGATGATTTTTAGTGCAATGAGCGACATTTAAATTGTGTTGTGCCGAAGATGGAGAAAATCATTTTTGTTATCTATTCTACTTTTTGAAAAATGCCTCAAGATACTGTGCTATTTAATGTTGGAGGCACTAGATTTGAAATTCAGCGAAACCTAGTACAAGCCTATCCAAAGAGTCGCCTGGCGGAGTTAGCTAATAGTGCTTCGAAAGACAATGTGATATTTATCGACCACAATCCTCTTGCATTCAGTGTGATACTTGATTTTCTTCGCTACAAGAGAATTGTTGTACCTAGAAACGTTGCCCGTGAGGTTGTCGAATTGCAGTTACAGGAATTTGAGATTCCTTATGGTAATTTATCGGAAGAAGTGAATGTGAATGTGAATGATGATGAGTTGCCTAGTTATGAAGCCACAATGTCTGGTTCTTCGTTGAAGAACACAGTACTTGCAGTTTCTACCCGGAGGTAAGCTTGTCGACTTGCCACCGGCATATATGTATTATATTATAACCTCTCTTCTACGATGCAACAGAATGGACACATTGATCACGGATGTTATTTTACCATTTCTAAAACGTCATGCTAAGCGAGCTCATCGACAGGTCACATTTTACCTGACGCCAAATGTTTTGACCCCGAAAAACATCACCTCTGATCTCGAACATATATCCGAACCTCACGAATGGATCTATCTGCCATCATCTAGTGATTCGTTGGGATCAAAAAACGTTGAGGCAAATTCCGAGGTTGAAGACCTTCCCGATCTCAGATTTTTATTGCAAGAGGGTTCCCTTAAGAGATTGGAAGATTTTATCGTCAAGAGATCAGGAGTAAAGAGAGCTGAAACCAGGAAACTTGAAGTCAGTTTTAGAACAGAAAATGAGTTTGGATTGTTATTTACGAAAACCATGGAGATTCTTGAGATTCACGTTGTCGTCGTCTAGGATATGTTACTTGTATAATAAATTTGGCTAGTTCTCTTATTGTTTTATTTTTTTTTTTTTCACTCAACAACCATACATTAATTATTTAGCATTGCATTCTTATTTATTTATTTCACATCGATGAATATATGTATCTCTATTGACACAAGAATTAAATTTTCATTAGTTTTAAGAGAAAAGCAGATCAACTTTATTTTATCTCTTGGAAACAAAACCGAGACATAATGCATGCAGTCTCATGAACAAATTGTTAACTTGTGAAATTGTTAACTCATGGATAAATTGTTAAATTGTTAGTTAACTCATGGATAAATTGTTAAATTGTTAGTTAACTCATGGATAAATTGTTAAATTGTTAGTTAACTCATGGATAAATTGTTGCATTCATTCATCTGCTCATAGGCATACAGATGTTCTAGGTTAATTCTTACTTATTGAAAAACAAAAACATAACTCATATTTTAATTAATAATAACAATAATCATAATAATAATAATTTTGCATTCTAATTTTTATTTGAATTATTATTTATTATTCTTTTCGGTTGATCAGCTTCAATCTACATGTCGAATTTTTGGTGGTGGGTGACAAGAGCGATGGAGAAAATTCGTACGCTCATTGTCATAGAGAGTAAAAAAAATAAGATAAAATATAAAATGACAATAATACATCATCCATTATGAGTTAAGGTTAAACTAGACCAAATAAGTTATATTGTTTTGGATCATGATCAATAAGATAATGAAATAATAATATAAGGATTAAATCGATAAGGTGTGATGATGATAAGGATAATCAAACAACAAAATTAGCATACAAAGGGTTAAGCGAACCCCGACGATTCTCTTAACCAAATTTTCACTGGTTTGGCGAAATCTTGGATTCCGTAACAATTCAAAGAAAAATCATTGCTTTATTGGATTATTGATAGACAGTATGGTGGATTGATGGATTTGTAATAAAAAAGTACAGTAAATATCAAAATAATCAAATAAATATCTCCGGATCACATGCAGCATGTATAATACAGTACACACAATTACCAGTAAGGTTTGTGATTACAAAAATAAATAAATGAAAATAGAAAATAACCTTAAGAGAAGTATAAGCAACGTAATGCAGACACAGCAGGATCATTAATTCCAAATAAGTGATTATTCATCAAAAAACCGTATCAACCATTATAAAAATAGATTAATATACTCGATTTCATCAAGGAGCGCCGAAAATCATTATCATCGTGTATTTGGAAAAAAAAAAAAATTGGAAGGTATTTAATGATTTTAAAGAAATCGGTCGTGGAATTCCACTAACAAATATTTTCACAGTAATTATCAAATAAGGGAAATTTTTCGCTCTTAGCGACAATGTCACAATTGATACTGGGACTAGTAATTTCGATATAATAAGAAATCATATACCAAATGTATTGGATTTGATCATGTGAACGCGGAATACGTGCCTCGTAAGGATGGATGTAATTTAATTTGTGCATAGGAAAGCGTTGTAACATTGACGTTTGTTGATTGGTTTCGATTTCCGGAATTGCAAAAGGATCGCCTGCAAACAATGATGTAAATTTATCCTCGCCGAATTCTCATTGGATATTGAGCATCCCGATGACAGATCGTTCACAAAAAGAATTTTTAAGTAAGGATTAAACTCCGACTTTTTTTGATGATGATGCTTGACTGCGTAGATATTTTTGAAACTTATTTTATTAGTTAATTTAGAAAAGACGGCATGCATCGATCACATGAATATCAATGGTTTAATCAGAATGTTCCATTTTAAACGAAGGTGACCAAAGATGTTTGTTTCTCTGGGAACGGTTCTTCCGCGCAGCTCGGTAATGACGAAAAATTACAGTCGAAAATTCCGAAATTTGATCGACCTATTTTTCTTTGTGTAATCATGATCCCACAAATGAGGATAATGCTCGTTCATTCGGGTAACGTCGGTGGTTTCCAATTGACGTAACAAGATCAGAACCTGAAACATTTAAATTATATTGTTGTTTTACAAAAAGTGTGTATCCGGAAAATTTATTACTCACGAGAGGTATCAGTAAGAGCATGAAAATGGAATCATGAAACTGGATATGAAAATCATTTTTTTTATGACAAAAAAAAAAAGCTGCAGTCTCTGGTAACGAAATAATGGGGACAATTAAATTTGTTTCCTTTACTTCCCACATTGGCCAATGGTGTAACAGTTAATCTAGCATGTCATGAGAATGCCATGGAACGCTCTAATTCGTCTTTTTATTTTGTTTGTATATA